ATGCAGTTCTTAATAATAACATCAACAAGACATGTGAGACTTGCAGTTAGCAGTACACATGTAACACACAGAACTAGTAAATAACGTAACCTTGGCTGACCATCTGATGCCTTATAGCTCAATGGTTAGCGCGTCTGTCCGGTAATCAGAAGGTTACGTGGTTCAATTCCCGTTAGGGCTCAGAATTTTTCTGAGTATGGGCTTGATACGCATCCACACCAAATCACATATTCTACAAGCTGCCACAAAAACATATATATATATATATACATATATATATATATATATATATATATATATATATATATATATATATATATATATATATATATATATATATATATATATTTATATATATATATATTGTTTAACATGAATAGCAACATGTGGCACAAAAGAGTGCTCGCGTTCGAGCATATATAATTGGTTTGGTATTTTTACTTGTTTGTTTCAAGGTTTATAATCTACATATCAACAACAGTCACTTACCTAATATAATTTTATCATTAATTCTGTACAGACCTCAATCACGACTGAATACTTATCGAACAGGGTACCGGCAAAGTTAAACCGACTGTATACCTTAGTGAAACAAACACGTGAAAAATATCTAACTTTATATATATATATATATATTTATATATATATATATATATATATATATATATATATATATATATATATATATATATATATATATATATATATATATATATATATATATATATATATATATATATATATATATATATATATATATATATATATATATATATATATCTGTATATATATATATATCTGTATATATATATATATCTGTATATATATATATATATATATATATATATATATATATATATATATATATATATATATATATATATATATATATATATATATATATATATATATATATATATATATATATATATATATATATATATATATATATATATACATATATAAAATGAAAATGTTCTAGAGTGTGTATTATATAATTTCCACACCCAGCGGAAGCAGAAAGATGTTGTCTACCGCCGCTGGGCCCCGAACCCGCGACCCTCGAACTACTAGATCGACGCCCCACCAACTGAGCCACACGGTCAGACGGATTTAAGACTGGAAATTATGAAATATGTACTGAATGTCATAAACGTACTCGTTTAGATTAATTCAGCATCGAACAATACTAGTTCTGCAAGTGTTATGTTAGTTGTGTAATAGTACACTCCGTAAGATGTTAAGATGAAAATGTTCTAGAGTGTGTATTATATAATTTCCACACCCAGCGGAAACAGAAAGATGTTCTCTGCCGCGGCTGGGCCCCGAACCCGCGACCCTCGAACTACTAGATCGACGCCCCACCAACTGAGCCACACGGTCGGATGGATTTAAGACTGGAAATTATGAAATATATACTGAATGTCATAAACATACTCGTTTATATTAATTCAGCATCGAACAATACTAGTTCTGCAAGTG